CACACACACACACACACACACACACACACACACACACACACACACACCATAACCAACAATAACGAAAACAACTACTCCAATCAAAGTGCAAGCTCTCTCTTCTGTTGGGAGTGAATTAACACTGCTGCTGGAAAATGTATGTAGGAAAAGCTATAGACTCCTAGAGAAAAGGCCCCTTTATCTTTTATGCTTCAAGGACATTTTTTGTTTGTTTTTTTAGGCAATTGGGGTTAAGTGACTTGCCCAGGGTCACACAGCTAGTAAGTGTCAAGTGTTTGGTCTGAGGCCAGATTTGAACTCAGGTCCTTCTGACTTCAGGGCCGGTGCTCTATCCACTGAGCCACCTAGCTGCCCCCTTCAAGGACATTTTGTTTGGCCTGGTCCAATTATTTAGAGATAATAATAATACCCTTAGGATGGTTGAGTTCTGACTACTTGTTTTTTTTTTTCTGATTAACTTAAGCAATTTTAGTCGTGTGCTATTTTGATTTACAACTTGAAACTGGCTGAGAAGATCTTTTCCTGTTTTCAAAAATCACAATTTCATAGATAACGCTCTCCTTGGCCCAAATAGAGTAAATTCTTGTAGTGTCCTAGTTCCTAGGACTATAGATAATGTATTTCTTTTTTAAACAAAAAAAATTTTTGGTTATGTTTGATTTTGGTTATATTTGACAGATATCACCAAACATGATCATATCCATATACACCAAAGTCATGAATCTATATTACATATAGCTTTCATTTTTAAAAGAATTGCATATACACTTACTAGCTGTGTGACCCTGGGCAAGTCGCTTAACTCTGATTGCCTTACCAAAAAAAAAAAAAAAAAAAGAATTGAATATATTCAACATGTTCACTTCAAAGCTCTCTTGATTGTCTCTGAACCTCCTGTTCTCTGTTGTTTTTTTTTTTAAATGCTACAATGATCCTCTTTCCTTTATCTTCTTTTTTTTGGGAGAGGGCATCCCCATCATTAGTGTCCCTCTTCCTCCCCAACCCTTCCTGCGATTAAAAAAACAAAACAAAGCAAAACCCAATACCCTCTCTTGTAACAAATATAGATAAGTAAAATAAATCCACACATTAGACATGTCTGAAAATATATATCTCAATCTGCCTGAGTCCCTGGCCTCTTGGTTAGGTTTATGAGTAACATGCTTCATCACCGTTCCTCAGGAATAGAGGTTTGAAGACATATTTCCTAAAAATGAATGTTCTAATCCTTTGCCTACCATCAATCAACCAATCAATAAGCATTTATTTTTAAAACATATTTTATTGACATCTTTTGTTTTTATATCACTTACATTTCCCGACGTGTTCTTCCTTCTTCCTCCAAAAGAATAACAAAGAATTTTAAAAATGAAAAAAAAAACCCACTTTGGCAAAAGTAAACAGATAGAAAAAGTCTAACACAACATGCAGTATTCTACATCTGGTTTTCCACCTCTGTAAAGAAAGAATTGGAGGTGCTTTCTTACATCTCTTTTTGGGGCCAAGCTTGGTCATTATAATTTCTTAGCTTTCAGTTTTGATTCCAACAAGTGTTGTTAAATGCCAACTATTTGCCAGGCTCTGTGCTAGGCATTAATTGGTTGTTGTGCAGTCAGTCTGACTCTTTGTGACCCCATTTTGGGGTTTTCTTTTCTTTTTCTTTCTTTTTTTTTGGTGAGGCAATTGGGGTTAAGTGACTTGCCCAGGGTCACACAGCTACTAAGTGTCAAGTCTCTGGTGTGAGATTGGATTTGAACTCAGGTCCTCCTGACTCCAGAGCCAATGTTCTATATACTGCACCACCTACCTGCCCCATTTGGGGTTTTCTTGACAAAGATGTTTTCTTTTCCAGCTCATTTTACAGATGAGGAAACTGAGGCAAACAGGGTTAAGTGACTTGTCCAGGGTCACTCTATTTGCCTTAATGCAGCTGAGGAATGAATTGAATGTCAACTCTGTTGCATTATTGACCTTAATGGAGCTTTTTGTAGTCCATCTAAAACCTCTGACCTGTTTGATATGAACTGCTGTCTAGCCACACTAGCTTGTACTTACGAAGTTGATTTTTTCAGTTGCAAGTGTGAGACTTTGAGTTTACTTCTATTATATTTCAGTATATTAAACTTGGCCCATCCTTGAAAAATGTAAGTTTGTTCAGGGCAGAGTCTCTCTCCTAGAGGCAACTGGATGATGGTGGAGTAGATAAAGTGCTAGATGAGAAATCAGGAAGATGTGGATTCAGATACTTCCTCAGACACTTCCTCAGGTGACCTTGGGCAAGTCACTTGCCTTCTTTCCCCTTCAGATTCCTCATTTGTAAAATAGGAATAATAATAGTACCCCCCTCACAGGGTTGTCTTGAAGATCAAACAAATTAATAAATGTAAAGTGCTTTGTAAATCTTAATGGTGTAATAAATGCTAGATGTTATTATTAGGTCCTCGCATGTTGTAAGTACTTAATAACTTGCTTGTTGACTTATTGATTCTAAATTGTTAAGGTAATTTTGCTTCTTGTCTTCCATCAGGTTAGTCCTCTTTCCCAGTTTTGTATCATCTACCAATTCCATAAGTATGCCATTTAAAAAGAAATTACTTGCACCCTCACCAAACATATGCCCTCATTCAGAAGGTGGGAAAAGTTTCTGGGTTGTTAGGTTAGGAGTGAAGGTATTATCAGTTCCTAAGAGAGGATACCTGAATGTCAGGTATGCCAAAGCAAAAAACTCTCCCTCGACCCAATTTTTAAAGACCAATTCAGTCATGGGGGAGATATATCGAGGTATCATCTTGAGGGGAAAAGGGCAGAGACCCCAGGACACTTTAAGGTTACTTTTGGGGAGGTCTGCCCAAAATCCATTCGACCCAATTGTAAATTTTATATTTTTTAGCTCCTACCTACTAAGACTTGCTCCCA